ACGGGCCTAGCGCCGAGGTTGGGAAGTGTCGAGGCGGAGGTCCGTGTCAAGAACTAGGCAGGAATGATCAACTAGAAATGGAAGATGGGTACAAGTACAAACCCTAGCAATGTGTTGTACCCCATATGTTGTACCCCACTACAGCCTACACCCTAACAGCATATGTATACATATAGTTTGACACACCCCCATAGGCAAAGTGGGGGAGAACAGAGGGTCACAAGACCAGTCAAGAAATGCAAAGCAAGCTCAGGGTGGATCACAACGTCACCACACACACTGAGCACAAGTAGGAGGCCACAAGGCCAGTTCACATGCAGAGGTATATATGTAACAACAACAGCACAGTGATCTCTACCTACCAGAGCAAGCATGCAGGTATATATATAGATCACAGTACAAGCAAAGCCTACAGCAAGTGAGGAAGCGTGGGCACAAGGCCTAACAAAGTACAGAAACGCTGATGATCACCAGGCGGAAGTGCCTTGGTGAATATATCAGCAGTGTTGGCCCGAGTGGCCACGTGAGCAAGACGAAGCTGGCCACGCTGCTGCAACTCTCGAGCAAGGAAGTAACGCAGAGCGATGTGCTTCGTTCTGTGCTCCAGTCTGTGCTCCTGACATAAGGCAATGGCGGCCTTGTTGTCGACGTACAGCACTGGAGGAGAACGAGGCCGCTCTCCCAAGTCGGTCAGCAGGTAGGTGAGCCAGCGTAGCTCTTGTGCAGCCATGGCTGTGGCGTAGATCTCAGCCTCACAACAAGAGCCGAGAACTGAAGACGAGCGTGTAGAACGCCAGGAAACTGAACCAGAGCCAAGGCTGAATGTGTAACCCTGTGACGACCGCTGCGTAGCCTGGTTGTCAACCCAAGAAGCGTCCGAGTGGCCAGTGAGGACAACGTCGACCCGTCCTCCAAGCACGAGCCCCATGCCCAATGTACTGCACAAGTAGCGTAGTACCCTCTTAGCAGCATCCATGTGCACCTTTCGGTGCCGACCAGGAGCTACGTAGCGAGCCAGAAGGCCAAGAGGGTACGCAAGGTCAGGACGAGTGCAGGTCATCAGGTACATGAGGCAGCCCACTAGCTCTGGGTAAGGACCACTCGGCTCTACGGACTCGTCCGAAGGTGGAGCTGAGAGCGAGTGACCTGTAGCCAGAGGAGTGGCCTGTGCTGAAGACCAGGTGAGGCCGAAGCGCTGAAGGACCTGCTGCACCATGTGTGACTGAGTCAATGTGATGGTGCAGCGTGCTCTGTCCCGGGTGATCTGCAAGCCAAGGTAGCTGCGCAACTCACCCAGGTCTGTGCACGTGTGTCTCTTCTGCAGCTCCGACTTCACCAGGGCGAGAGCCTCAGTGTCAGCAGTGGCAAAGACCAAGTCGTCGACATACACGAGGATGTAGAACGGCGGCAGCGAAGTGTCGGTGCGCAGAAACAGCGACGGGTCAGCAGTCGACGGGGCAAACCCAAGAGCCGCAAGAGTCGTCTTCAGTGTGTCGTGCCACTCACGTGGCGCCTGGCGGAGACCGTAGACTGGCCGCCGGAGGCTCCACTGGGTACCAGGAGGGAACGACCCAGTGAAGCCAGGTGGGCGGCGCAGCCAGATCTCCTCGTGCAGGCTGCCCTGTAAGAAGGCTGTGCTGAAGTCAAGAGAGTGAAGCTCGTAGTCACGCTGAGCGGCAACGTGCAGCAGCACCCGAAGAGTGGTCATCTGCGGGGTGGGGGAGAAGGTCTGGAAGAAGTCAACTCCCTCCCGCTGACTGAAGCCTCGTGCAACGTAACGAGCCTTGAAGACAGGCGGAGAACCTGGCGGCCGCTTCACCCTGAAAATCCACATGCCGTCGACGATGTTCGCCCCAGGAGGGGGAACCTCATCGACGTAGGTGCCTGTGGACTTCCAGGATGCCATCTCTGCGTCCATGGCTGTCTGCCACTGAGAGGAGTACTCACCCGCGATCGCCTCAGCGTACGATCGCGGAGTCGAGGTGTCTGGTCCGGGTCTCCCTCAGGGGCAAGCAGCATGGCCACGAGATGAGGCGCAGCGGTTGCAAGACACTCAAGGTCATCGTGTCTGTCCTCAAGGACGTCCGTGCCAAGAGCACACTCACCCCCGACGGACGGAGGACAGACAGACTCATACTCAGCAACAAGACTAGCGGCGTAGTCTAGACGACAGGCAGCAGCAAAGTCAACAAGCTCAGCAACTAAGGCAGACGCAGCAGCAGACTCAAACGACGGGTCAGTGACAACAGTGGCAAGCAGACGTGTGACAGTAGAGTGCTCAGCACGAAACTGGTCAGACGCAGGGTCAGCAACGACAGGCAGAGAGGACGCAGGGGGAGACGGCAGAGGAACACGCGGCGGAGGAGAGGAAGGACGACGGACTACAAGGTGGGGGCCGGGGACAGCCGGCTGACGCTGACGAGGAACACGACGACCGGAACGACCAGAACGGACAGGTGAGACAGGACGCGACGCAGGCTCACGACGCTCAGCAAGGCCCCCTGTCTGCTCAGTGTACGGAGAAGGAGCAGGCAGCGGTGAGCCAGGCTGTAACGGAAGACCAGTAGACGAAGGGAGACTGAGAACCTGACGAAGCATAGAGTCAGGCGGTGGCTGAGACGACGGAGACGGCGGAGCGAAGAACAAGCGCGGCTGTGCAGTGCCACCAGCACCAGCAGCTCCAGCACCTCCAGCAGCTCCAGTACCCTCAGCAGCTCCAGCACCTCCAGCAGCTCCAGTACCCTCAGCAGCTCCAGCACCTCCAGCAGCTCCAGAAGCCTCAGCGCCAGCTCCTCCCGGACCAGCTCCACCAGCTGCAGCACCCCCAGAACCGGCACCTCCAGTCCCAGGGTCTCCAGCCTCAGTGCCTCCAGCAGCAGCACCCCCAGACCCAGGGTCTCCAGCAGTAGCACCCTCAGACACAGCACCTCCAGCCCCAGCAGCTCCAGTACCTCCAGTACGAGCACCTCCGGGACCAGCGACTCCAGCACCTCCAGTAGACAAAGGACCAGCACCACTCCCAGCTCCAGTGACGTCAGCAGAAGTACCTCCAGCAGCAGAGCCCCGAGCTGCAGAAGCGCGACCCTGACGGCGACCGTACCAGTCGTGCAGCTGCTGTGAGGTGAGAGGCACACGCGGACGAAGACGGCTACTCCAAGGAGACAACGTAACAGCAGTCTCAGAACCCTCAGGCGTCGCACCCCCAGACTCAGCACCCCCAGGCTCCGCACACGCAGGCTCAGCACCCCCAGACGCAGCACCCCCAGGCTCAGGACCTCCAGGCTCCTCACGCGCAGGCCCAGCACCTCCAGGCTCCGCACCCTCAGGCTCCTCACGCTCAGTGCCCCCAGACTCCGCACCCCCAGTCTCAGCACCTCCTGGGTCCTCACGCTCAGGCTCCGCACCCACAGGCTTAGCACCCCCACGCTCCGCACCCCCAAGCTCCGCACCCCCAAACTCCGTACCCCCAGGGACAGCACCATCCCCAGCAGGACCTGAGTCACCAGTGACCTCAACAGGCGCAGGTACGGGAGGGTCTACCAGCACCAGCAGCTCCAGCACCTCCAGCAGCTCCAGTACCCTCAGCAACTCCAGCACCTCCAGTAGACAAAGGACCAGTAGGCAAAGGCAGCGCAGGCAGCGCGCAGGGCAGTAGCAGGCCGCACGTAGGCTGCAGTTGCGGGCCGCGCGCGGGCTCCTACAGCGGCGTGCGGGGCAGCAAGGGGCCGCACGCGAGCTCCTAAGGCGGCGCGCGAGGCAGCAGCAGGCCGCGCGCGCTCCTAAGGCAGCTAGCGCTGCAGCAGCGGGCTGCGCAGGCGGCCGACGCGACGCGCGGGGCAGCAGCGAGCTGCGCGGGCGGCGGACGCGGCGCGCGGGGCAGCAGTGGGCCACGCTGGCGACGGACGCGGCGCGCGGGGCCTAAGCGGGCTGCGCGCGGCGGCGGGCTGCGCGGGCTCGTCGCGGGCTGCGCGAGCGATGCGCGGGCGACGCGGGCCGGCGCGCGGCGCTGCAGCGGGCTGCGGAGGCGGCTGCAGCAGTGGCGCGCGCTAAAAAAAAAGTGACGCGCGCGTGCAGCCGAGGCGCGCGGGGGCAACAGGCAAGGCAGGCAGGCATGTAAGGCTGTAGGCAGGGTCGTCCCTAGGGTCTGAGGTATGTCTGATGCATCAGATGGGTCCCCCGGGCAAAAAAAAAGTTTTGTCTGATGGTGACTGGCCCATCAGATTTATCCAAAAAAACATGTCTGAATATCAGCCAAACAGACAAAAAAAAGTCTGCTAGCGACGACCCTGGCTGTAGGTGAGGTAACGCGGTTACAGGTGGGCCCTATTCTTAGGTCCTAAAGACCTACTGCTCTGATACCATGTCAAGAACTAGGCAGGAACGATCAACTAGAAATGGAAGATGGGTACAAGTACAAACCCTAGCAATGTGTTGTACCCCATATGTTGTACCCCACTACAGCCTACACCCTAACAGCATATATACATAGTTTGACAGTCTGGAGCGCGGGTTACCAACCGAACCGTGAGGTTGGGTCGCGTCGTGAACAGTGGCGGGAATAGTGTCGAGGCGAGTGTCGCGAGTGGTAACGGATTACTGTTGGGTGCTGTTGGCGGGAACAGTGGTGTACGCGCTGAGCAGGGACGCGAAGTAAGGAAAAAGGAATTTTCCTTACAAATGGCTATTATAAACATTATGTAGAAATGCACGGAAACATGCTCCAATTACAGAGCTTACGCGCTCGACGTGCGCTTCTCTCTCGTTCTGTGCGCGCTCTGCTGCATCTCTCGCCGTGCGTCGGACCCTAAACCCCCGTCGCCTCCTTCCTCCGTCGTGCTCCCCCAACCGCTCCTCCCCGTACCGCCTTCACCCCGTCTCACGCTCTCCACCCAATTCAAATTTCGACTCCCCTCAGATCTCTTTCCATTTTCTCTCAAATCTTGTAGCCCTGATATTTTCTAGGATATCTGTGCGCTTTTCTGTTGCTGGTCAACTGAGCCATGGACGGGCAGAACAACGCGCAGGCAGGCGGCAAGGCCAGTCAACCGGGCGGTAGTGGCGAGCGGCGGGAAGTCCCGAACCGGCAGTTCTTCCTGCAGGTGGCGAACGCGTCGACGGCCATGCAGGTGGTGGCCGGCGAGATCTCCGCGCTCTGCCGCCTCGCCGCCGGTAAGTGCCGCGTCGCCTGCATTTGCCTCACGGCCGTTCGTTCTGCACTTGCGCATGCTTAGCCACATGTGATCTTATTCGTCTCTGCCCTCAGCCAGGTTTTCTTCTCTTTCGTGCACTCCGCATGCTCGTCCTCGTTTTCTTCTGCACGTGGTGCGACCACGTGGTCTCATCTGCATTGCCGCCGGAGCTGCATCGTTTTCCGCGTCGCACATTGTCAAGCCTCTTTCATCTTTCCCCTCGTCACGTCTCTCTCGTGCGCCTTGCGGCAGACGGGGTGGCCATATCGGCGATCAGTCCGCTGTTCAACACCTTCGCAGCTTATCCCAGCTTCGACCCACTTCACTTCAAAGCCGCAGCCCTCGCAGTTGCCGCCGCCGCCTCTTCGCTCCCCGCTGCCGGACCAGCCGCTGCCCCCGGCCCAGGCACAGCGGTCGCCGCCACTCTCGTCGCGCCCGCCGCAACTACCGCGGCTGCTGCTGCTGCGAAAGCGGTTGCGGGGCCGAGCGGCGGGAAGGAGGAGAAGGCGAAGAAGGAGAAGCGGCCGCTGTCCGCCGTGCAGATGGCGATGACGCAGTTCCTCTCCGAAGAGCGCGACCGCCTCCTCGCGCAGGGCGCTGCCTCCACCCCCGGCGAGGCGTACCAGATGGCAAGACGGCGGTGGAACGAGATGCGCGAGGCGAACGGGCAGGGGAAGAAGAAGGGCAAGGGGAAGAAGCACGATGAGGAGCACGAGGAGCACGAGGAAGGCGAGGAGCGCGAGGAAGGCGAGGAAGGCGAGGAAAGGGAGGAAGGTGAGGAAGTTGAGGAGGTGCCAATGCAGCTGGGCGACGCGGTGATGGAGGATGGGGAGGAGGAGGAGAAGAAGGAGGAGGAGGAGGAAAAGGCGAAAGAGGCGAAGAAAGAGGATGAGAAGAAGGATAAGAGCAAGGGCAAGGGGCGTGAAGAGGAGGAAGCAACGGGGAAGAAGTCGGGCAAGGGGAAGGAGAAGGTGGCGGAGGACGAGGGCCCCGCGGGTGGCGGCAGCAGCGCAGGCAAGAGGCGCAAGAGGAAGCAGGGTGACGAGCACGTGGCTGCTTCGCCTGCTACCGCGCCAGGGACCTCTGCTGCTGCCGCTGCTGCTTCTCCTGCTGCTGCCCGTACTCCTGCGGGTACTCCTGCCCGCACTCCTGCTGCTGGCACTCCGGGCGGTGAGGCGAAGGCAGGCAGCTCAGGCAAGCAGGCGAAGAAGAAGAAGGCGCAGGCAGGGGCGACGCCGGACAAGGCAAAGTGAGTGAGACCGGCTTTGGTGAATGGCTTCCCACTGACATGCTGTACGTTGTGATTCCGTTTGATAGCTAGAAATAAGAGTTTGAATAACTAACAGGGCTGTGTGCAGGTGTGCCTCTGTTTAGAGATATGTAACCTACTGACCCATAAGGTCATCGCTTGTCCTTCCATAGCAGTGTGTTGTTACGTAAGGTGCAATTAGAGTGTGGTAGGTTTGTGTGTTTTTTTCAACCTGTAACTGGCAAATAATGACAATGTCGCTTCCCTTTAGATCTTTAACAGACAAATAGTAATGATTTTTCCTTGTTTGCGGATGCATCAGAAAAAAGACTCCTGTTGGCCAAGTTGGAATACTGTACTTACAAAATTCCTTAGGTGTTATAAATAAATCTTCCTCTATAATGTTCACCCAAGCCCAAGGTTTCGGGTGCTGTAATGAGTTTGCCCTGAAAATGTTGACATTCTATTTTGGCTGAAATTTAGGATGGCTTTGACATTTTGCCCTGAGATTATACAGAAGGAGAGGGGGGGAGGGGAGAGGAAGAGAGGAGGGGGGTTAGTTTCCCAGAGGAATTTGTCCCACCGTCTCACAACAAACCCTTGCGAACTATCTGTGCTGGAGTGCGCACTGTGGTAGGTAGGGTAGTGCTGTTGTACTCATTCGGGTGCTGTGATTATCCTGCCATGAAAATCAACAAGGCCGTGAAACTTTGCCCTACAAGATCATGGCACTCTGAAAACAAATAAAGAGTTGCCCTGAGACCTCAGGATGCCCTAAATCCTAGTAAAGGTCCTGGTTCAGGTAAACACAGTAACCCCAGGGGCGAGCTGAAGGCAGACTAGCGTGTGAGTGATGAGCAGGCGACCTCCCAGACAGCTGGCCGCACGGCGAGGTGGCCTGAGGGCGAGGCGAGGCGGGGCGGCATCAGAACTCATCCTCGCTGTATGGCACGACCTCCTGCATGCACCATGCACCATGCACCATGCACCATGCACCATGCATCATGCACCATGCACCATGCACCATGCACCATGCACCATGGACCATGCACCATGCACCATGCACCATGCACCATGCCCCATGCCCCATGCCCCATGCACCATGCACCATGCACCATGCACCATGCACCATGCACCATGCACCATGCACCATGCACCATGCCCCATGCCCCATGCCCCATGCACCATGCACCATGCACCATGCACCATGCACCATGCACCATGCACCATGCCCCATGCACCATGCACCATGCACCATGCACCATGCACCATGCACCATGCACCATGCACCATGCACCATGCACCATGCACCATGCACCATGCACCATGCACCATGCACCATGCACCATGCATCATGCACCATGCATCATGCACCATGCACCATGCACCATGCCCCATGCACCATGCCCCATGCACCATGCACCATGCACCATGCACCATGCACCATGCACCATGCGCCATGCACCATGCACCCACCCAGCACACATGCGCACATGGTGGGACAGAAGCGCCATGTGCGCTGGCAGGCTCATTGTGCCCACACAGTGCAGGGCGGCTCATTGTGCCCACACAGTGCAGGGCGGCTCATTGTGCCCACACAGTGCAGGGCAATGACGGCAGGGAATGCTCGTCGTGCTTAGAAAGGCCCGACAATTGAAGACCAGGCATGCATGTGATGGCAGCATGAGTGAGAAGCAGAGGGATACGTACCACGATGGTTGTGCCTACCACGATGGTTGTGCCTACCACGATGGTTGTGCCTACCACGATGGTTGTGCCTACCACGATGGTTGTGCCTACCACGATGGTTGTGCCTACCACGATGGTTGTGCCTACCACGATGGTTGTGCCTACCACGATGGTTGTGAGGTCGTCCAGCGGAGGGCTGACATCCCAGCGGTACAGATGACCATCGGCGCAGCAGCACATGACGATGCTGCACGCACGCACCACCATGCACACACGCACTGCTGTGAGCGGCGCAGAGAGCCTGGCAGGGGATATTCATGTCCTTTGACCACTTGGATAGGTGCTGCATGAGTGTTGCATGCGCGAGCAGCGATGCTGGACAGGTGGAGTTGAAATGTGCGCTCACCTGGCATCATGCGCTCACCTGGCATCATGGGAAAGTGCAATGGCTGTTATTGGCGCTTTGGTGGGTGGGCGCAGGCTGCAAGGCAGAGAGGCAGTGCGGGGGAAGACGGGTGTGATGAGAATGAGGATGACGCATTATCACACGAGTAGCAACAGGTGCAGTGGTGCACGGGCGCATGGAGGACGTTCAACGATTGCAATCACATGCTGTGATGACCCACCATGTGATGACCCACCATGTGACGACCCACCATGTGATGACCCACCACGTGACGACCCACCTGAGCTGCTGTGAGGGCTCCGCCACTTTCACGACCTTCACTTCACTCGTGCCGCTCCCTGCCATCACGACCCCAGCCACCGCAACGCATGGTGGGGTGACTTCATCGTGGGATGATGAGCAGGCACTAGGAAAACAGCACAACCACGCCTAGAGCTACCACTCTTAATGCCGCCCCCTCGTTGGCTTGAGGCTTTCGTTTTGCTTTTGCTTAGGGCTGCCCGCAGCTCACTTGTGGCAGTGAGGTCAACCATGCAACGCAGCATGAGAGCCCATCATGTGTAACGAACCACACGCGGTGGAATACCATGGAATGCAGCTGCACGACACGCACTGCCGTGGACTGTGGTGGAGTGCAGAGGAGTGGAATGTGGTTGAATGCAGCGGAATGAAGGGGAATGAAGTGGAGTGAAATGCAATGGAGAGCACAGGAATGTGGTGGAACGTGATGGAAACCGGAATCAACCAGAGAAATGCGGTGGAATGCGGCACCTGGATCCCCACACAAGCATGCCCACTGGGCGACCTACGGAGGGCGAGGAAGCGCCGTGCGGCCGTCATGGCGAAGCGCGGGGGGCGTGGAGGAGAGGGTGCGCTGACCGTGGAGTTGTGAACAGCGGGTGGGTGGGCAGCAGAGGGCGGAGGCGTGTGCAGGTGGAGGAGTGTTTGAGAGGTGCCCTGTGGGTGGGAAGGTATGGATGCATGGCAGGACACGGTCATGCAGTGGTTAGAAGGCATGAGATGGGGGCATGAGATGGCAAGAGATGGCAGTCATAGAGGATAAACACATGCGCGAGCAAGGCATGGCATGGCATGGCACGGGATGGCATGGCATGGCACGGCATGGCATGGATGGCACGCCATGGCATGGCACGGCATGGCATAGCATGGCACAGCATGGCATGGCATGGCACGGCACGGCATGGCATGGCGTGGCACGGCACGGGATGGCACGGGATGGCACGGCATGGCACGGCATGGCATGGCACGGCATGGCACGGCATGGCATGGCATAGCATGGCATGGCATGGCACGGCATGGCATGGCATGGCACGGCATGGCATGGCACGGCATGGCACGGCACGGCACGGCATGGCATGGCATGGCACGGCATGGCACGGCACGGCACGGCACGGCACGGCAGGGCATGGCACGGCAGGGCATGGCATGGCATGGCGTGGCATGGCATGGCATGGCATGGCACGGCATGGCATGGCACGGCATGGCACGGCACGGCACGGCACGGCACGGCATGGCATGGCATGGCACGGCACGGCATGGCACGGCACGGCACGGCATGGCAACGAGGCATTGGTGGCGCACCATAAGTGATGCACCATGGAAAGATTAGGAGTCGATTCGAAGATGCGCGGCGTAGAGCCAACAAGGATACAACATAGTGAGCAGCACAGTGAGCAGCACAGTGAGCGGCACAGACGTTGCGTGCTGCCGCCTACACACCTCCTTTATATCGAGCCCGGGCATGAAGGTCCACCGCCACAGCAGCACTGCGCCTGTCGTGCACTGCAGCACACACCACACACCATACTCATCCTCAGCAGCCATGATGGCAAGGCGGGTGCCTAGTGAACAACCATCAACTTGCATAAATGGGAGCCCTCGCAATGCACGGCAGTGACATGCACTGCCGCTGTTATAAGCGCTGCAGCAGCACTGCCATTCACTCAGAAGTAGCATGACAGATGACTGTGCAAGTGTGGGTCCGTGTGAACATGGAAGTGGCAAGGCTGCGAGCAGACGTCACCATTGACAGAAAGAGGCCTCCATACGTGGCGGCTTGCTGCACTGGCGCTGCGTGCACCCTTGCTGCCACGAAGCCCTGCCGGCACAGCAAGAGGTAGAGGAGGGCGCACAATCATGGGGAGTGAGAGATGGTGCAGCAGAGATGGTGCAGCAGAGATGGTGCAGCAGAGATGGTGCAGCAGAGTGTGAGCTCGCCTCATCCACAGCTGCCTCATCCACAGCTGCCTCATCCACACACGCGCACTGGAAAGCTGGTTGGGGAGCCCGGTTGTCACAGCTTGCAGCCTTGCAGCAAGCACTCACCGGCAGGACGACTTGCAGCAAGCACTCACCGGCAAGACGACTTGCAGCAAGCACTCACCGGCAGGACGACTTGCAGCAAGCACTCACCGGCAGGACGACTTGCAGCAAGCACTCACCGGCAGGACGACTTGCTTGGTGGGGAAGTCGGAGGGCCTTCCCGTCCACTCCGCCGCCTCACGCATGAGATGCCTTTGCTCTGCCACGCCCCGCACACGGTGTGCACGAGTGAGGATGAGAACGGAAAACATCATCTGAAAAATGGAGTACAAGAAGAAATTTCACTCACACCTCCCAGGTCCCACTCACCTCTGAGGTCCCACTCACCTCTGAGGTCCCACTCACCTCTGAGGTCCCACTCACCTCTGAGGTCCCACACAGCCACTCTGCCGTCTTCCCCCGCCGTCACCACGGTGGTGCCTTCGATGCCACTCACGTCCTGCCCTGCCCCCACGGGTCAAGCAGGTCAAACGGGTCAAGCAGGTCAAACGGGTCAAGCATGTCAAACGGGTCAAGCAGGTCAAACGGGTCAAGCAGGTCAAACGGGTCAAACGGGCCAAGCAGTGATGTATGCAGATGCGAGACACGGAGAAAACAAAGAGGCAGAGACAAGGAAATGGAAAAGGAGCATGAGAGGCAGTGCATGCGAGGTGGTGAGCAAGGAGATACAAGCGATGCCATGGACCGTCCCATCCCCACCACACTCTGCCACCCCCCTGCCATGCGCCCCACCCCCCTGCCACGCACCCCACCCCCCTGCCATGCGCCCCACCCCCCTGCCATGCGCCACGCCCCACTTCCCCCCCTCCCCCCTCTCCCCCCCCCCCCCCTCTCCCCCCCCGTGTGGGCGCACCACGGAGAGCACGGGTGTGCGGTGGAGGCCCAGCAGGATGGCGCAGCACACGGCGCTGCCCACATGCCACACCCACACCGACGTGTCCTGGCATGTGCAGGGCACGCATGGGGGACAGCAGCACAGCGAGCAGGGATGCAAGTGAGAAGGGGTGTTGGTGAGAAGGAATCGGCGAGAGTGACGGGAACAGACATTGCTATAGAGGGAGGTGGAGGTGGAGCGGGAGCAATAGAAGGCGGTACGAGGGAACATGCGTCGTGTTGCGAAGCTGATGGTGGATGTGGGGAGTGAGGTCGAGGGTGAGTCAGTGAAAATGGGTGTGAGGTAGTGAGGTTGAGTGTAAGGCGGTGGGTTGGAACGTGCGTGACTCACTTTGCTGGCAGAGAGGAGAATGGACGGCTGAGATGGATGCGCACAGAGATCCGTGATGGCACCCCCCTGCCCCATTAGCGTCTGCATGACCGACGGATAAAAGATGGCGGGACATGGCATGGGATGGCACAAGATGGCATGGGATGGCATAAGAGAGCAAGACATGTGTTCACATTCAAGAGACTGACCAGCAGCATGCATGCAATCCACGCGGCACGGCTGGCTGGCACACCTTGAAGGGGCGGCGCGAGTGGAAGTCAACGATGCGCACCACACCCAGCTCGCCGCCCGCCGCCACCAGCACTCGCCCCTCCGCGTCCACCATCCACGCCACCGCCGCATACCTCTCCACCCCCCTCGCCTGCACTCACATGACGACGCCAGACAAGCAAGTGAGCAGAGAGGCATGCAAACAAGTGTGAGTGCAAAGAGCAGCACAAGGGTGGCCTCAGGCAAGGGAAAAGCAAGGCGCTCCATATGCTGGAAGTCAGTTCGAGGGAATGCACTTCAGTTTGTGCGCACCTCAGCTGCTTGGGCCATGTGCGCTCCTGCCCACCCTCACCCACTCGCAGGCAATGGTGCCCCACATGGAGAGTGCGGTTACCGCCCGCAGTGCAACTCACCTACGTACCTGGTTACCACATGTTACATCAGCTGTGGGTTCTTCGGGGCTGTCCGCGTTAGGCTCACTCGCCCCTGTGGTGGGCGGGGTCGGCCCTGTGCTGGATGGGGCCGCATCCAACGGACGTGCCGCTTCCTCGGCCGCCCTCTCCTGCCCATGGGTGGCATGGCATGCACGGTGCAAGGGCTGGGATTGAAAAGAACAAGAGAAATCGCCTTACGGCATGCCAACCACTTGTTGCCTAGTAAGTATCGTGCTGGGGTGGGTGAGCTTGTGTGCACTCACGGTGGGGTGGAAGAAGGTGTGTGTGTACGCAATGGAGCCGTCCTCCTTGCACTCCAACAGCATGAGCTGCGCGGGCAGTGGCACGCACACAGCCCGAACATCAGGCACTTGCACTTGAAGGGGGTTCTGGATCAAGCTGTGCAGAATGGACAAGAGAGACAGGCACCATGGCGGGCAGTGCACACATGGCGGGCAGTGCACACATGGCGGGCAGTGCACACATGGCGGGCAGTGCACACATGGCGGGCAGTGCACACATGGCGGGCAGTGCACACATGGCGGGCAGTGCACACATGGCGGGCAGTGCACACATGGCGGGCAGTGCACACATGGCGGGCAGTGCACACATGGCGGGCAGTCCACACATGGCGGGCAGTGCACACATGGCGGGCAGTGCACACATGGCGGGCAGTGCACACATGGCGGGCAGTCCACACATGGCGTGAAAGTCACCATGTTTGCAGAGACGCATGCGAGGTGGTTGCCGTAGCGGGGATGCCACGTGTTGAAGGCCATGGCGGATGGAGTCTCGCCATCGTGGTCCCACACAAACGGTGCCTGCAGGCACGTGGGAGAACATGAGGGAGCAAGACATGCATTGCAAATGAACGAATGTGTGGAAATAGAGTTGGCAGAATCATTACAACAGAACGCAAGGTCCTTTATTCTTTCCGATAACATCTACCAGCACACGCAAGGGAAAAGGCTAGCAGCGCCGCAAAAAGGAACCCCTGACGCACTCGAAGTGTGGCTTGCGGCGGCTGCCAGGCCGCCTCTGTCGCTGCCATGCGCCGCTACTGGCTCGCAGGGGAATGCGCACGACGCGAGAAGCTGGGCGCGGCGTGGGAGGTACGGCAGGCGGGAGACGCGCGACGAGCCGGCGAGATGCAGCCTGAGCTCACTAGCCTGCTCTGCGCGTCGCCGACACGCGCAACGCAATATCACGGCGTGAGGAGCGTTGAGGTGAAGGAGAAACGGACACGCGGGAAGAGGGATGACGGGGAAGGAGAGAGGGGCGGGATGGAGGGAGTTGGACGCAGTTGGCAGTGGAGCTGGCAACGGCGATGGTGCCTGAACGCTTTTGCCTCGGGTTTCGGGATCCGGAATCAAACAAGTGCTATCCAGACCCCACACGTTTCGCCTTCTGTGAGTAAGAGTGAGCGACAGAAGTCACAAGTCGCTCGAAATTACTAAGCTATGGCGTCAAACTCCTGCTCCAACTTGCTGCGCAAGACCATTATTTGAAAATGAGACCGTTGGGGAGAAAATGCATTGAATACCCGTATTAGGACTCGATACCCGAGCTAGCGAGTGAACTTTGATAACCGAAGCATAAACCTGAAATCCCATATCTTGACTTCAAATTTGAATTTAGGGCTGGTGAGGAAGCGTTCATTTTCAAAAATTGCATAAATTTGACGGATTTAGAATCAGTTCGCATGAAGTATCTGGAGCTGTACAGAATACAGTACCTGTGACGCTGGCGAAGGTTTCCCCCACAGACAGACACAAATCAGTTCTCGCACAAAAACCTTACATTTGCTATCTAAGTACCGTAACCACATCTTACAAAACAGTTGCGCGGCTCGCGAAAACAACGAGGTGCTTTGCGACATGTTTGGGCAAATCTCATTCCGTTACTTATGGCAGTGCTTGAGCAGTTTCGATCTAGCATACGTATTGGCGGCGCGAATTGGAACGAGGTAGCGAGAAAACGAGTACAAGTATGAGCGAAGCCATGAGCGAATACTTATGTGCGAAACATGCAACGGTTACGTGGTGCGTGCGAGCTAGCTAGTGTTAGGCTGGCATCGAGGTTCGGAGTTGTCCCGAAGTGTCAAATGTTGATGTTTGTGATAGGCTGTAGTGAGGTGCTCCTTAGTGAGTACAAACATGTTAGGGTTTCCTAGTTGTACCCCAACTCCTTTCTAGTCAAGCATTCCGTTGTTCGCTAACTTTGAGATGGTATCATGAGTAGGTGTCGATCCTCTCGCCTAGGTGTCGATCCTCTCGCCTAGCCTAACCTAGCTCGCGCCCTAGCGCCCTCCGCGCCCTTGCGCCCTAGCACCCTCCGCGCCCTCCGCGCCCTCCGCGCCCTCCGCGCCTTAGCCTCCGCGCCCTCCGCGCCATCTTCGTGCCTTAGCGCCCTCCTCTTCCGCGCGTTAGCGCCCTCCGTGCCCTTAGCCTGCGCCCCTAGCCCGTCGCCCAGGCTCACGCCCTAGCCCGACGCCCAGGCGCCCGCCCTAGCCCGTCGCCCAGGCGCCCGCCCTAGCCCATCGCCCAGGCGCCCGCCCGAGCCCGTCGCCCAGGCGCCCGCCCCAGCCCGTCGCCCAGGCGCCCGCCCCAGCCCGTCGCCCAGGCGCCCGCCCTAGCCCGTCGCCCAGGCCCGCGCCCTAGCCCGTCGCCCACGCCCGCGCCCTAGCCCGTCGCCCAGGCGCCCGCCCTAGCCCGTCGCCCAGGCGCCCGCCCTGGCCCGTCGCCCCAGCCCGCTCCCTGGCCCGTCGCCCCAGCCCGCGCCCTGGCCCGTCGCCCCGGCCCCGCATGCAGCGCGCCCCGCAGGCAGCACACCCTGCAGGCAGCGCGCCACAGAGCGCTTTAGTGCCAGAAAATAAATAAATAAATTAAACCCTTAAAAACAAAAAAAAGGGGTGTAGGGTGGGGGCCTGCAACTGTCGCCCGCGTTCCTGCTTGCCGGACGACCTGCACAGTTGCCTACATCCCTCAGCCGTCAGTACTGCAGCCCCTACTGTTGCACGTACTTTCCACTGCCAGTGGCTCTACTAGCTGCAACCGACAGCCGCACTTACGGTCTCTAGCTCCGGCCGTTCTACCTCCAGCCAGCCCTAGCTCGCCGTTTCTAGCTCCAGCCAGTTGTGCTCCAGCCGTTCTAGCTCCAGCCGTTCTCGCTCCAGACGTTCTCGCTCCTCGCTCGTAGCTCAGTTTGCTCCGTGCTCCAGCCGTTCCTCGCCTAGTTTCACCTGGCGCTCCTAGCTTAGTTCGCTCCGTGCTCCAGCAGTTACTCGCCTAGTTTCACCTGGCGCTCCTAGTTGTTCTCGTTTTTCACTGCAGCCGTCCCTAGCTCCTGTCGCTCCTAGCCTGCCACTCCTGCACCCCGCTAGCTTTTATCATGGAGTCCACTAGGGTTCTCCAGCAGCAGGGACAACAGCAACGGCCGTTTCAGCAGTGGCTTCCGCAGCAGCAAATCCCCCCAGGGGCACACTTTCACCCTTGACTCGGGTGCTTCCCGCTCCTTCTTTCGCGACTGCACCTCACTCTCGCCGCTCAGTCGGCCGGTGGCAGTCTCTCTGGCTGACCCCTCTGGGGGTCCGGTCCTTGCCCACTCCTCCACGGTTCTGCCGTGTCCGGCGGTCCCATCTGGCTCTCTGTCTGGCCTCCACCTCCCCTCGTTCTCCACGAACTTGGTGAGTGGAGCAGACCTTCAGGACGCGTGGGTTGACCAGTTCACTCCTGGAGGTCAGCGGGTGACCCACTGTTCGTGTACTCGGACGGGCCGGCACCTGGCCACGTTCACCCGTCAGCCTGGGTCGAGCCTGTACACTCTGACTACAGTGTCTCCTCCTGTTGTTGAGTCTGGTCAGGTAGCCGCGTCGGGTCAGGTGTTTGCTGCAGCGTCCCGGTCTGGTCCTGAGTCTGCCCCCTGCTCGTGTCGCCTCCTGTCTCACCAGACTCTCCTCTGGCACCACCGCCTTGGTCACCCCTCCCTGCCTCGTCTCCGAGGTATGGCCTCCCGTGTCCTTGTCACTGGTCTTCCCCGGTCTCTCCCTCCCCTTCCCCCGGGGCCTGCCCCTACCTGCGTTCCCTGCGTCGAGGGGCGGCAGCGCGCTGCTCCTCACTCCTCCGAGTTCCCTCCGACGGAGGCTCCCCTGCAGACGCTTCACAGACGTGTGGGGCCCCGCCCGCGTCTATGGACAGGGTCACGAGCGCTACTTTCTGCTGGTCTTTGACGACTACTCGCGTTACACCACAGTCTTCCCCTTGCGCCGCAAGGGTGAGGTCACTGAGGTGCTGATCGACTGGATCCGCGCTGCCCGTCGTCAGCTCAGCGAGAGTTTCGGCTCGGACCTTCCTGTTCTGCGTCTGCACCCCGACAGAGGTGGAAAGTTTTCCTCCGACCTTCTGCGAGCCTTCTGTCGTGCGGAGGGCATCCGCCAGACGTTCACGCTTCCGGCCTCTCTGCAGCAAAATGGGATTTCTGAGCGCCGCATTGGCATGGTCATGGACGTCGCGCATACGTCCATGATCCATGCGGCTGCTCCCCATTTTCTGTGGCCGTTCGCGGTTCAGTATGCGGCGCATCAGCTCAACCTCCAGCCCCGGGTCTCCATGCCGGAGACCACACCTACTCTGCGGTGGACGGGGACGGTTGGCGATGCGTCTGCGTTCCGTGTTTGGGGATCTCGAGCTTTCGTCCGCGACTTGTCTGCGGATAAGCTGTCCTCCCGTCACACGCCGCCATGACTACGCCACCCGCGTAGTGGCTGCCCATCCTCTATCCGCTTGGGGTGAGTCTGCCCTTGGCTGTGACGTCCTAGAGGACAGACACTTTGAGTTTGAGTTCATGGCAGGCGCTTCTCCCCATTTCTGTGCCATGCTGCTACCCCTGAGGGAGATCCCGACGTCCTTGACATACCGACTCCTCGCACGTACTGTGAGGCAGTCTCAGGGCAGTGGGTTTGTTAGTGCATAGCGGTCATGGACTCAGAGATGGAGTCTTGTAGCTCCACAGGCACTTATGTCAACGCAGTTCTCCCTCCCAGGTCAAACGCGGTCGATGTCATGTGAATCTTCAAGGTGAAGCGACCGCCTGGATCACCACCTGTCTTCAAGGTGTGCTACGTGGCTGGAGGCTTCAGTTAGCATGAGGGAGTAGACTTCTTCAGTCAGCGAGACATCGAGCTGCACATACTGGACTTCTCCACTGCCTTTCTCCAGGGCCGCCTGCACAAAAAGATCCGGCTACGCCATCCTGCTGGCTTCATTGGCACTTTCCCGTCTGGGACCCAGTGGAGCCTGAGACGACCAGTCTACGGTCTGTGAGTGGCACGACACTCTTCGTTCCACTCCTCCTGACCTCGGGGTCAGTCCTTCGTCCGCCGACCCATCGCTGTTCGTTCGTTATGGGCCCACACCTTCCTTCTTCCTTGTCTACGTCGACGACTTGGTCTTCGCTACAACAGACATGGTTGCTCTAGGTTTTGTGAAGTTCGAACTGCAGAAGAGACGTGCACTTACGTTGGTGAACACGCCGCTACCTTGGCTTGTATATCACCAGGGACAGAGCCGCTCGCACCATCACACTGACTCAGTCACACATAGTGCAGCAGGTCCTTCAGTTCGAGCTTTAGTTCTCCACCACACAGCCTACTCTTGCTGTTGACCTTGGACTCACCGCTCCTCTTGCCTTTGAGTTTAGTGGTCCCTACGCAGAGCGTGTGGGCTGCCTCAAGTACCGTCCGGGCCTCGCTTTCCCTCTCAACGTCCTAGCTCGCTTTGTTGCAACTAGGAGACACCGCCCTGTTCACTACGCAGATGCTGTGAGGGTAGCGAAGTACATGGCGACTACGTCACGCATTGTGCTTGTGCTTGCAAGGTGAGAGCCAGTTGTACAGACCAGTCACTACAACTCGTCGTACACCAACGACTTGGAGATCTCCACGTCTGGACAGGGGTACTGCATTAGCTTCGGCTCTAAAGTTGTGCAGCGGAGGTCTATTGGGTTGTCGTCTGTGGCGTAGTCTAGCACTGAGGCCGAGATCTACGCTAGTGCCATGGCTGCGCAAGAGCTTCACTCGTTGACCTCTCACTGACCTTGATGAGCGACCTCGCTCTGCGCTCACCTTTGTTCGCTGACAACAAGGCCATGATCCTCCT